ATTGATTGATTTAGGTAGTGTTAAATTTGTTCCAATCAGTGCAGAAAATACAAAAAAATTAAGTTATCACAAAGAATGACCTAAGTTGCATGAACCTAAAAAAAATATCTAAGTAAAGTATTGCACACTCAAAATAATTAAGTTGTCTTTACTCATCATATTTAAGTCAACTTTACTAATTTTTTTTGAGGCAACGAGTTTGCATACTTTTTTTAAGTAAGGTCAACTTATTATGTTTTACAGTGTAGCGTTCAGCATGTGAGGCTGTGAGATCCCGGAGCTCCGCATGCAACTGTTAATTTAGCTATTCCTAAGAGTGCTGATTAATATTCTTCCCTTAGTTATATAAAGTCAGTCGGGTTTGTTGGGCGGAAAAACATCTCGGCTACACGGAGTTCTCTGGTTTGAAACATGTCCAGCAGTAGCCGGTCGAAGGCTGTTAACTCTGCTGCTAGCAGGAAGGTGGCTCGCTCGGCCATTGATGTTGATGCGTTGCCGCTTTCTCCGGACTCTGTGGATAAGATTATGACGGCGATTGAACTGCTGGGCACGAAAATGGATTCTCAGACGGCTGCCCACCGTCAAGAAATAGTCTCCATTCGTCAAGAGTTGCACAAGACTGTTAGCTCTCTACAGACCGCCAACACGCAGTGTGCTAAGCGCATTGATGACCTCGAGCAAGCTACCACTGAGTGGACCTCAACTGTGATGTCTCTTGAAACTACAGTGACGCATCTGCAATCAAAAGTGTGCAACTTGACAGAGAAGTGCTTGGACTTGGAGGGGCGCAGCCGTCGCCAGAATATCTGTCTAATTGGAATAGAGGAGGGCGAGGAAGGGAAAAACCCACGACAGCTCTGCGCTAATGTGCTGAAGGAAATACTGGACTTGGAGGTTGCTCGGCGTCTGGACCGTGGTCATCGTTCACTGGCACCAAAACCTAATGAAGGAGGGAGACCCAGACCCTTCATCATCCGCGCACATCACGGGGATGTGAAGGATCGCATCCTCCGCATTTCGAGTCAGAAGAAGAAGCTGTTCTATAAGGAGAAGCGTGTGCACATCTTTCCCGACTTCGCTCCAGAAGTGGCGAAGAAGCGCGCGGCTTTCAGGGAGGCGAGGCAGCTCCTTAGAAATGCTAGGGAAGTCAAGTTTGGACTTCGCTTTCCAGTTACACTCCGCATCACCTTCAGAGAGGAGGAGAAATCCTTCACTGATCCTGAGCTGGCCGTATCCTACATAAAAGAAAACATTCTGCCGCCGTGATGATCAGGTACCGATTAATTGCCGATTGAGATTGAATGCAAACATGTTGCTGCCTGTCTTTGTTTGAAAAGTAATAGGATGAATGAATATGTTACTCTCTGTTCTATGATGCATCCTGCTATTTAAGTTTTGAATGCCTCTGGTTCTCAGTTAGGCCAGTCATAGTGTATTATCTTGATCACTGTTAAAATTTCAGGCCACTTTCATACAAAGCAGTTTTCTTATGACACCCCCTGACTATACTGAATAATGGGCTATAAACTGGCCCAGAGGCAACAATAGCCTCCTGATTTTGAACAGTAATCATCTCATGCTATCTGTAGCTTATCAATAAGAAACAATTCTCTTACCCCAAAGTGGATACTGCTACTGCCTGTCTGACTGTCTGTTGTACACAGTTGTATTTTGCACTGTTAATTTTGCTTTCTTTTGCTCAGTTGCTTGTGGAGCTTTGAGCCTGTTTAGGTTAGTGAGAAACCTAAAGTGAGTTTTGGCCTTTTGCTGGAGGGTGCATGCACTATGCTCGAGTTAGTGCACGCGGGGGTGGGGTGGGGGAGTGTGCTCTGTGAAGATTTTGTTTTTGTTTCTGTTTGGTCCTGTGGTTGTATTTTATTTCTTCTGTCTAGTATAGATATGCCCTGCAGTGGAGGGGGACGGTCAGTTAAGTTTACCAATTGGAATGTGAAAGGCCTAAACCATCCCATCAAGCGCTCCAAGGTCCTAGCCCACCTTAAATTCTTAAAAACCGATATTGCTTTCCTTACCAAGACACATGTACGGGGGTCTGGATGTATTGTTCTTAAGAGAGGTTGGGTGGGACAAGTGTATCATTCAACCTTCCAGGGAAAGGTGAGAGGGGCTGACATTTTGATCAGCAAATCAGTACAATTTACTCCTGCTGAAACCATATCGGACCCTAATGGTCGCTTTGTTATTGTGGTGGGCAAACTTTACGGTCTGCCTGTAACGTTAGCCTGTGTCTACGCCCCTAACTGGGATGATTCTAAATTTATGAATAGCTTTTTGTCAACTATTCCACACCTAGATACTCATCAGTTCATACTAGCAGGCGACTGTAATTGTGTAATTAATCCCCTTTTAGATAGATCTTCCACTCGTATCATCACTAAATCTAAGAGAGCAGAATGCATAGAAAACTTTTTGCAGTCCTGTGCTGTGATTGACCCATGGAGATTTCTCAATCCCACGCGGAAAGAATACTCCTTTTTTCACCTGTACATCACACCTATTCACGTATAGATTATTTCTTCATACATAAAACATTACTGTCCTTTGTAAAGTCTTGTGATTACACCAGCATGGTTATATCTGACCATGCTCCTGTGACGCTGGTTTTAAATCTCCCCAACCATAAACCAAACAGATTCAGGTGGCGGTTCACCTCTCTACTTTTGGGAGATGAACATTTTGTTGCCTCTATCAATACCCACATAGACATTTTTTTTTTTTACAAACTAACTCAAATAATGAAACCTCCCCATCCCTGCTGTAGGATATGGACAGACACAGATGCTCAAAAGGATTCAAAGAACTTCATGTGAACCCCAGGTCACATGCCATAAAAGACATAACTGTCCTGAAAGTCACAGGATCATGTAAATCAACTCTGCAGAC